AAAAAACTTTTGATCATACAGAGAATTATTCTGAGCATAATTTTCCTCTTCTATGTGACATCAAACGTCATCACTGACAGAGACTGACAAGCAAATGAACACTGTGCTGCTCTCCTGTGGCAAAAAACCCACCGATGTACTGTAATACTGTATTATCATCAATAACATGCACAAAGTTTATTCCTGTAGTTCCTTTACTTGCTTGATTCTGTTCAGGGTTTGCAGGGAGCAGGTCCCTACAGTACTCCCAGTGGTCATCAGGTCCAAGTGAGGGTACGATCCAACACAGGGTCATATTGAGACAAATCACACCAAGATCACTTTAGACTTAGTGATTATTCTAATGTGCATGTTTGGAAACTGTGGGATGAAACCCAGAGAAAGTTTACGCCTGCACGGAAAGAACAAACAAACTTGACAAAGACGGAGCCCAGCTGTGAGTCAGGCCAACCAGCTGTTCCACCGTGCAGCCCTTCGATGAGTCGCTAACTGTAAACAGAGTTCAGACCTGAACATTTAGCTTTTAAAGGTCATAATCAAACCAGGGAGCTGTTTGGAAGCTTTATTAAAACACGTCGGTACATTATAACTCAAGCTTTTCTATTTCTAATTTATTTCTAAAAAAATAAAAACATTCTTTGATGTATTTTAAAATTTCTTTATTGCTATCAGTTGTTAATGTTAAAGTGGTCAAGTAGGCATGCTGCTGATGCTGTTCACTGCAGTAAGGAATAAACTATATATATATATATATATATATATATATATATATATATATATATGTATATGTATATATTCTTCTTTTCATGAGAAAAGGACAAAAAAAAAGATACTTGAATTGATGAGAAACCTGAACACAGAAGATCATTATGAATTTGTTTGATCTCCATCAGCTTGTCGTCATTCTCATCTCTGCGCTCTGTCAAAGAGTAACTTCCTGTTCCAGTAGTTTGCCATATTAGCAGCTTTAGTCTTGTGTGTGCTGCTGTATGAAAGTCATGTGATTTGACTCTGAATATCATAAAATAATCTTTATTCTGAGAACTAAAATCTTTTCTATTAGAACGAGTCCTGTGAAAAAAGCTCCCTTAGAAAAAGTGCCTCGTCTAAATTCTAATTGACGCCTCAGTTTGAGTGAGCTAACTGAGTTTCTGTACCTCTTTATCTCAACATGCTCAGGCAGGCACAAGAAGCAATGTTTATCCCATTGATAAAAAATTGAAGAGTCGTGCGCGAGCCGCTGCAAATTCATCTATTTTAGCTCGAGTTAAAGTCGGAGCACTCCATGGGGGAAACCGTCCAAGTACCTGCCAGAGCACATTCATCTGCTTTTCCCGTCTGTATAAATATGATTTTTATGTGCTAAACAGACTGAAGAGTTAGTGAAGTAATTAAAGTTTAAATTTTATGTGGAGCAGCTGAATTCTGTGTCAATAAACAGGATGTTAATTTGTTTTTGAGGATAACAGGAAATGACAGCAGATAAAAAATAGGCTGAAAAGAAAACAAGGCAATATAGGCACATTTCACAGCGAAGCTTAAATTTATGTTTAAAAAAAGAGGCATCGGGGTTATTAAAAAGCTTTTTCCAGTCAAAATGAACACAAATCGTCTGGATGCATACACCTGTTTGAAAAGAAATATAATGAAAGTGCTGAAGAAACTGAACCGGAGCTGCAACTACCCCCACATTTCTGCAGCCGATTTAACACAAGAGCACAAGGAAATAAAATCAAGAGGAGATATACAGATGCAGTTAGAGGACATGGAGGTTGTTGGAGTGCACAGAGGATGCAGAGGACGGAGAGAGATGAGGAGGACTTCCTGTGGATCCCCCTGAAGAGGGAAAAGCTGAAAGAAGAAGAAGAATGAACACAAGAACAAGCCAGTCCTGACTCTGGAAACTACAAATCCTGCAGGATGCAAGATTTTCTGAGAATAAAAAGACTTTTTAGTTTTGAGCTGCAGAGCTGACAGCAAACATAAAACTAACACCTGTGTCTTCCTTTACTTGTAAGTTGTTGCTGTTAGAGCTTCACTGAGACACATCCTGATGCATGCTCAATAATCCAGGTAGAAAAATCTGCACGGGTTCTTTTGGACGAAACATGAAACTTTTCTACATATTTTTTTTGCTTTTTGAACCCGTCCCGAGGACCAGACTTAACTTTTCAGATTCACTGAGAGACATTTATTATTGTTTTAACAAGATAAAAGTATGAAGGAGTTGTGTTGTCCGTTTTAAACATAAGGCTCTTTGCAAGAACTTTGCACAAAGTCACAGCATTAAAAATGTATTCCTCATCATTTTAATAAGATTACTAATTACTGTCAGGAAAAAGACACTGATCAAAATGTGATGATATCAACAGCCACCCCTTGTGTTTGTATGAATAATATTCTGATGAATTTTATTTGTAATGAGAAACAGCTTCAGGCTTTAATTGGCTCATTGCTTCAACCAGCAGTTCATCAGGTCCAAGTTCATTCATGTGTATATTTGCAGATCATATTCATCCACCGCAAGAGCACATCAAAACATTCCTGAGATATTTAATTTTTAATGAGTTCAAAAGTCCCTTGTGTTGCTCATCCTGTGCAAATTACCCAGTTTATATTAATCTCTGGACATCCTCCATCACAGGGAGAGGATCTATCTGATGCTTGAGTGGATCAGCATCTGCGTCAGGCGGACAAATCACTGAAAGCTTCAGTAGAACGTTGGCTGCATTTTCAGAACCCTCTTGATGCTCTTCAACACAAAGACCCATTTGGAGAACGACCAGGTTCTAATTAGTAAGTTGGTAATTTACAAATAAACCAATTTGTTTATTCACGTCAGAACTGGAACGTGATACAAACTCAAAGAGCAAACTGAAAACTAGTTCACTAGATAATTTCACTTTAATAAAAAGTTTACTGTGAGAAGTTAAACTGTTACTTCAGTTTTAATTAATAAACGTGTTACTGCGGGGCCGTGACATTATGGCATGTGTGCACAAGAATCAGCACTGACATTAAACTTTATCACACTGAAGGAAAAAGACGACACAAATAACACATTTCATAAAATATTAAATACAAAGGATTAGCTAAAGTCACATTCTTTCCCACCAGTATGTTGATTATAACTGGTTTATATGAGTGGGCAGCATGACAGCTTAGTGGTTTGCTCTGTTGCCTCAAAGCAAGAAGGTTGAACCGTTCTCCTCGTGTGCGTTATCTCCGGGTGCTCCGGTTCAAAACGTGCATGTTAGTCTGCCTTTATTAACCTCTGCTAACATTTATTCAATCAGGCAAATCCCAGTGGGATCACAGATCTCATTTGGAGGCGTAAACCTGAAGGCAGCCAAACATCATGCACGTTAACGTGTTTGTCCCTCGTTGCTTTGGATGAGACCCAGAGAAGAGAAATCTAAAACCCCAGTATGGTTTGAACCTGTTGCTTTAATGGCTGCAGTCAGGAGGCGGCAGCCCTGCTGCTCTGTGGACAACGTTTTGCCTAACGAGGTGACAAACAGTAATTATTCTGTGCTGAAGCAACAAACGTGGACGTTGTGAACTTCTCTGTCATCTTTTGCACTAACAGGTCATGCTGACTGTAAACTCACTGTTTGGTCCATGCTGATTTTACGCAACAGTTTTTTGTGCTTCATCGTGAGCCCTCAAGCGAAATGTTCATTACGTCTCACAGATGTTGCCTCCGTAGGAGTTTAGCATGCAGTTGTTCTCCAGAGTTTTACTGACTAAACTAAATAATGAGAAGGAAATGCTGAGATTACATTAGTAAAAACAGAGCTTCTCATTAGTGCTTTGATACAGTGATCATTTACTTTGTGCCTGTGATGTCACTGGAGAAAGTCTTGATCCTTATCTTAATTAGTTCTGAGCACGGTGCAGTAAAGTCATTGATTTTTACTCAAGAAGGTCCAAATAAACCTGATCCATGTTGTTTGTGCATCGTGTGTATGATGTCCATCTGAATGCCTAAAAAGTTTTTGGATTCTTGTATTAGCTGAAAAATAAATGACCTGTTGCCAGAGAAACACCACAGCACAAGAACTTAAGGATTCATCTTTTGACAAACTCACAAGATGTTAGAGGAGCCGTCAGTGTTGATGGATGATGTTTGTCAGAAGTCCCACAGCATCTTATCACTGTCATTCTCTACCACTCTTGGTGGCATCTCCAGCTTTATATGGGGCCTCCAGTCCATACTCAGCACAGATGTTCCTGCACATTGTTCCAGAGGTTCCTGTATATTATTCCAGAGGTTCCTGTACATTATTCCAGATGTTCCTGTACATTATTCCAGATGTCCCTGTACATT